TGATGGAAATGTCCCTTGGCTTGTTGTGTGTGATGGATTCGGCCTTTAGTATCTAAGGTCAAGGGTGGGGAATTGTGGGGTTTAAGAGGAGATTTTCCCTGATTTTTGTGTAAGGAATTTTGGCCCTATATGGTAAGAAATGACAAGGAAAGATCATGGGTGCAAGGATGTGAAATAAGTCAACAAAAGGACAAATTTTCACTATTCAACTTTATGACTTCTATAGAAAGGTGATTTCTCTTTGTTAATAGTTGAAAAGGGGCCTGATTTATGGATAAAATGGAAGGGATTTTGGTCCCTAGTTGTAGGAAATAAAGAGGAAAGACATTATTTGGGTGAAAGGACTTTAAAAGAAACAAACAAAGGTTTTGGCTTTTATTTTCTTCTCATTTTCGGCCAAGGGCTTTGAAATGAGCGGGGAAAGACTTTATTTGAATAAAAAGGGAAGTATAAAGTGTTTTTGGATGTTTTGGGATGGTTTGGACTGAAATGGGAGTAAACCACAGAACCCTCGGGTCAAACGGAGGTTGTTTTGGCCTTTCGGGTTTAAGGTCCTTTTGAATTCAACTAATATGGATCATAATATTTGAATATAAGTCTTTTAGTTCTTATGATAGTGTAAGGCGTGAGTGAGAGTTTCATGGGGCTAGGCTCGGGTATAACAATTAATGCATGATAAACATATATTTTTCAAACATAGATGCATAATCATCATCATCACCAGTCACCAACTAGTTGTGGTAGGTGGTGTCAAAGTTATAATGCCGATTAATTATTTGTCCAAAATTAGTTAACTATTAACACTATAAATTTACAACACAACAACAACACCATTACACTAGCATATGTACTAAATCAAGCCTATACATTTGTGAGAGAGTGAGAGAGTGAGAGAGAGAGAGATTAAGCACACAGCCTTATGCGACTTTCCATGTTAGTTGTTACGGAGTACTATATTTATGAGTAGGAAGCAGTCAAGCAGAAAAATAAATGCATGTACTTCAACAAGATGGTACATAATTTCATGAAAAGGATTCAAGAAACTTAACAGATCCTCCAAGGTAGTACATAAGCAATTGATGATTGCACTATGTATCATTTTGTAAGGTTGGTTTTCACCATTTTACCAACTGTTTAAAGACTAAGCCCTTAACTAAAATATGTGACCTTTAAAGAAAAGGACGCCGATATTAATGTTATAGTTCCAAAACCCAGCAGAATTGTATACTAAGTTCATGCAAACATTATACGAAGGTATTTTATTTTTGGCATTTGGCACTCATTTGTGGTTTGTGTTGAGTGGATCTAATTGTTTGAATATGGTATTGGGATCAGGTGTTCGATGATTAGTATGAGTAAGTACTAAGTAGTGACACCTAAGAATGCCATGCAAAGACATAAAAAAATAATGGCTCCTAATAAGTGCTCAAGTTCATAACGCCAATGATAATTTTACTGAAGAGTTCACTCTGTAATAGACTACTCCAGTAATAGTTAAGGACCCTTTTAAATATAGAAGATAAACAGCTCTTATATGGATGCAAATTTGCAATTTCATTTGCTAAAAATGAAATATTATATAGTGACATGTTGGAAATGAATGAAGGAATGAAAAAGAAATCACACCAGTGAATCAGCAGCTTGATTTTCATCTCTTGCTTGCTCATCAGGATTTCCATTTGCTAAATTGGTCGACCTAGCTTCCTCAATCCATTGCTTCTTTGAAGTTGAAACTCTTTTTGCAGCATCTTTTAAAGCATTTATTGCAACATTATAAACATGAATAGATTTTGCACCTTCTTCTACAAATTTCATTGCTTCTTGACGTAAATTACTATAACGCACATTGAAAGAATCTTGAGAACTGTTTGGCAATTCGATGGAATGTTTGTCTGGGAGGGCCTCACCGCTACTCCTTGCATCCCGCGTCCAACGTTTTGAAATGTATTGGGAAGGAAGTGATAGAACATTTTTTGCTCTGAAAACTGATAATGCATGCCTACAAAGAATGCCTGAAAATTCAAACAATAGACAGCTACAATTCGCTCTCATCTCTAAGCCATTAAACTTTACGGTGTGTGCTTTGCGCTCTTCACCAAATTTGGAAACACGATAAATCGTAGTATCTCCAAAACAATCTATCTTAGTAGCAAGGTTAGCAAGGCTCTCTACCAATTCTGCTTGGAATTTCAAGAAAACCCTCCTAGTATAAAGATCAGCTGCCTGTTTTTCCATCGGAGATGGTGTCTTTAGGACTGGAGTGTTATTCTTAGTGTCAAAATCTGCCTTGAGTTCCTTTTCACGCCAGCTAGCAATACCTTTCTCACACACTTTAGTCAACATCTCAATGGTAGTGGAAGCATTCAAAAATCCATCAGCGAAAGAGTTTATAGCATTGTCATCATCATCCTCCTCGCCAGCAAAGAACTCCCCAAAAAATGTGTTGCGCAAGTAGACAGGAACCCAACGATGACGAGCATTGTACATCGAATGAAGCCATTCATTGTCCATGAGGTAATATCTTGACACAAGTGATCTCCACTGTGATTCAAACTCATCAGCCGTGTCCACTTCATGGATGCACCGGTTAAATTCAATTTCAAAAGAGGGATGCCTCTGGTATACATGAGACAATTTCTGTTTCGTCTCTCTAATTATGCTCTCTCTACAGAGACGATGGCGTGTATTAGGAAGAACTTGAGACACAGCCATCTGTATGTGACGACCAGCCTCAGTAGTTATGGAGAGCGGGATACGAGACGACATTGCCTGAAGCCAAGTCTGGAGAAGCCAGATGAACGATGTTTCCGATTCGTCAAAAAGCAAGGCACATCCAAAGAGAACTGGTTGAGCATGATGATTTAAGCCAGTAAATGTAGCAAACGGAATCCGAAATCCATTCTTCCTATAAGATGTATCCAACTTCACTGTATCACCAAAGTCGCCGTAGTACATCCGAGCATTTCCATCAGCCCAAAATAAATTTCCATCACAGTGTTCAATATCTCCTTGAGTAGCATAAAAGAATGCTGGACTATTGGATTGCATCCGCTTAAGATACTCGAGCACATTTTGAACCCCTCCAGAAACACTTCTTTGCAGGCTATTTGTGTTATCCATATCTCCTCCAAATTTATACTAATGTTTTTTTCATAACAAAACAGCATGAATGAAAATGCAAAATGGTTTATACTAATCAAGTTATAAAACAGATCTGCACGAAAACGAAAACAAAAATTGAACAATAAAATCAAAGTTCAGACAATACGCGCGGGGAATTGAACTGAAGGAAGAGATTAACCTAACATAGCTGCAGTCAAATACTAACTTGCTTGGCCTGAGATCGGCGATGAATTTTGTTTTGGGCGGGAATTCGCAGTGTTTTTGAGCCATTTATGCCGTTGATCTGAGGCCTCCGATTTCCTTGTCTCCGGTGTCCGCCAGCCCCATCAGTTTAGCAGCTTCTTCCGTCCGTCCGTCTGCGGGGACTGGGAGAGAAAACAACAACCCCCGCGAATCTAGCGTTGGGAATGGTAAAATTGTATATATACTCCACCAACATTTAGTTCCGGTTTGGGAATATCGTTAGCTATTAGCCGTTTTGAAAAGGCTAGCTACGAGTTGCGTTTAGCGTTAGCGTTTTCAAAGTAATCTACACCGTTAAAATTTTATCCAAAACGCTAACGCTATTCCCAAACAAGCCTTTACATACTCCAAGATTTCCCATTTAGAAAAGTAATAAAGGTGTGGTTAAAATTAATGCTGGAAAATAATTGCAAGTACAATTTTTTATTACCTCTACTCTTCGGTATAGATCTTTTCAAATATTATTTAAATGGTCAAACTTAGTTTATTTTGTTTATTTATTTTTAATACATTTCATAAAGTTATAGGAAGTACAGTCTTATCATTTCTCATTTTGTAAATTTTTTTGTGTTTTTTTATTACACGTAGATTAAATTTTATTTTTATATTTTTACTAACTATCAAATAAATTGAATTAAAAATAGATATTGTCAAATCTGGTAGTGTGCAATGAAATGATCTATGGAAAAAGAAGAAAATGTCTTTATTAAAATTATTTACTTATTTATTTACTCATGTACAAATAAAATATAATATACTCCCGGGAACATATTTAAAAGGGTGTTGTTATCCACGACTATTTTTGTAAAATCCATTTTATTTATACATTTTTTATCCCAAATTAAATTGTTTGTATGCTATTCAAAGCCCCAAATTCATTTACATTCTTTCCCTATTTTTGTTAGTTATTTGGTAAAATAATATAGTCATGTCACTGCTACTTTTATAGATCTCTTGATGTAGTTTTTAAATGTGCAATTTTTTTTAATTCTACAAACTTTTTCAAATAAAATGATTTAAAAATAACTTCGATCAAACATCATAAACTGAAATAATAGATTTGAATTAGGACGAAGAGAGTAGAGGTGGCAATCGGGTCAACCGGATCGGTTTCGGGGTGGATTTTTTTTGTTCGGATATCTTTCGGATATATGTTATAATTGGTTCGGTTTGGATTTGATTCGGTTCTATACATTTTTTCAGTTCGATTCGGTTTCGAGTCGGTTCAGATACGGTTCGGTTATAAATCGGTTCGGGTACAATTTGAATCAGATATATTTCGGTTTCGGATCTAGTTCGGTTCGGATATATTTCAGTTTCGGATCAAATATATTTTAGATATATATCATTTTCTAATTAAAAATTAATTATCCATGTTTCTTTTTATGTTTTATCGCATTTATCAATCTATCGTCAATTCAATACCTCATGTTATTTTATATTTTTTTCTAATTATATTATCTCTACCCTAAATAATCTTTGATTTTTGACTTTTTAGTCATATTTTACAAATTTGGACTATAAATTATGAAAAAGATATGTATTTAATTATGATATAAATTTAATACAATTAAATAGATTTTAAAACTTAGGTTTGATATATCAAATTTTTCTCACATCTACTAATATATTTATATTTATAAATGAAAAGATAAAAGATAAATTCAAATAATGTTATGTTCCATTTGAATACAATTTGGTAAAAATGAGTGAAATTGGGTGAAACGGGGTGAATCTTATTCAATTGAGTGCAAAATTATAAATATATGAGTGTATTTAGTTTAAAATAGATAAAATTAAATTTAATAGGGTGAAATATAATTAATTTTACACCTAAATGTAATAGTGTGGATCAAATTTTAAAATGATAACATTAAATGTTGCCGCTAGAGAGTCTTTTCAAAATGCTAATGTTAATATCTAATGTTATTGACTAATATTGAGTGAATTGATTTGAAACTAATCAAATTAACTCTCAAACCACTAAAATTTATCTTAATTGGATGAAATTATGATAAAATCTAGTTATTCCATACAAATTATACGAAGTACAATTCATCATGTAATCCATTTATGAGGGAATGGACAAGTAATGTAATTAGTGCAAGTGGTAAAATAAAAGTAAAAATTTTAAATATAATATGCTTATTGAAAGGCAAACACAATTTCGAATTTATCAGTTTTCGTTCTAATCGGGTTCGGATATTATCGGTTTCGGATCAAATTGGTTTCGGGTTTTATTGGTTTTAATCAGTTCTAGGTTTAATCGGTTCGGATATTATCGGTTTTGGATCTAATCGGTTTCGAATTTAAATCGGATATGAATTATTTATTTCGGTTTTGGTTTGATTCGGATCATTTCATGTTTTCGGTTATAGATCGGATCTTCATTTTTTGGATCATTTTGGTTTCAGTTTCGGATATTTTGGTTCGAGTAATCGGTTTCGATTCTGTTTTGCGAGGTATAGAAGAGAGTAATAAATAATCAATTTTACCCTTGAAAATGCAAAGAGAAATTTGAGATATAACTCACTATTTAAGAACAAAGTTATCTATTTAATATAAAGAAGTAGATATAGTAAAAATAGAATAAAGTTAGTGTTAAACCAAAATGGGATACTCTATTTGTATACCACGCAAACACAGATACTAAGTGTGTGATCACAAACTATTACATACATTCAGTTATACCTAGAGATAGGTACAACCGGCGTTTAATAGGGGAGAAAGGAAGAAATCGGCGATGAAGGAGGTTGGCCGATTGTAAGTTTGCTAGAAGTCATGCAGATCTGTGATGATGTACAGATTGATGATGATGTGCAGATCTATTCTTCTCGTTTGTATTGATTCTTGAGGTTTTGCCTATTGATGATGCGGTGATGAAGAAGAAGAAGGAAGACCTGACAGAATCTGCAAAAAAGAGCTACGACTATGAAGAACTTCCGGTAGGGCGAGTTATGAATGGTTGTATGTAATTGAAGAATGAGTACTAGATTTTAGAATGTGTAATACATTATGGAAAATGCTAGAGTTACAAACATATAGTTCACAAACTTCACAAATTTGTTTTTTGTAGATTTCAAATTAAAATATCTTTTATTATTTGAATGCTTCTTATTTTTAGGAAAATGTGAAAAACATAAGTTTATGAATTCTGATAATTATTTGTTTGTGACTGTAGCATAAAAAACAAGTAAGGAGTACTTTTTTCTAGCATAACACAAGATCTTGATGAGAGAACTAGTACTACCAGCATTTGCCAGGCATTTGGGAAGGTATATGTGAACTTGGCGCGGCGGCGGACGCTATTACTCTTCTACCACCACCACCACAATGGCGCTGGCATTCGATTGTCACCTGCAATTCCAAAAGGCGTCAGCATTCTATCACCGCCGGCAAATCCATTTCACGCCTCTTCAAAATCGACCTTACCAGTCTCCGGTATGTAACTCCCACTGTCTGTGAATTTAATTGCGGTATTTCCTTCATGGAATTGCATATCTACACATATGCTGCTGTGTAATTTGATTCGACCACAACTAGCTTTGAACTGAACCTCTCACACTCAAAATCTCGGTGTGAAAATGAATTAATAAACCAGTACCACATGATCTAAATTGTCCCGAGGAAAAAAGGAGAGGTTGAGAGGATGCTAGAATTTGGTTTCATTCAAATGTTCAACCTAAATGTTGTATACATTCGTTTAATATCGTTATTTTTATGTAAAATGTTTGGTGTACACCATAAATCAGTGTGTTACACACACACAACAACAATTGTTTGGGTGCGCACACACAATTGTCTGATGTGTGTGTATGTAACACACTGGTCTACAAGTGGTGTGCACCAAAGTGGTCACCTAGCATGACCCTATTATTATTTTTGGAAAAATCTAGAGGTATACCAAGTTTGTACCCCAACTTGTAAACCAAATGTATCACACACACAGGGTACCATGTGTACCCCTAGGCTTTAGCTCACCTCAATTATTTGTCGATATTTGGCCCATGTGATATGCAGCATCTTCTGAAGAGGAATCACCACAAGTCTAGCTCCAGATTTTATGCATTTAGAGGTGATCACCTAAGTGTATGCTAAGTATATAAATTCTTTTGCCCAGATTTTATGCTTGGATTTCTGCAAGTTATAGGCTATTAGATTCGTTCTAAAGCATCTGTTTTGATGCTTTTGCAGGGGGTAGTGCCATTAGCACTGGGAATACACTTGATCCACAGCTTCGTGTTGTCCTTGAACTTGCCACAGATTCTGAGTTACGCGAACTTGAAAGAATTCTGTTTGGCCCGAGGTTCTTTTTCCCTCAAATTCTCATATTTGATTGTAGGTTTATGATAATCTTTGCATGGATTTTCAGTGATAGTTTCTAAGCAGCCCCTAACATCTGCACTAGTGTAATGCCATTTGCTTTTCAACTTCATCTTTCACTACTGGTTTATGCTTCCCATGTATAGATCGTTAATGATTACTCTCTCCGTCCAAAGTTTTCTTTCCCGTTTTGACTTGGCACGGAGATTAAGAAAAGTTAAAAAGTGTTAAGACTTTCCATGCTTTGCACTTGTTGTGATTGAATAAAGTGAATAATGTAGATAAAATTTGGGGGTATAATGGAACATTTATTAAAATTTTGTTGCCAAAATAGGAAACGGGAAAGAAATTTTTGGATGGCCCAAAAAGGAAAGTGAGAAAGAAATTAATGGACGGAGGGAGTATAATGAGCACTGAGCAGGTCCAAACATGTGTAGTAGCGTAACATACCTTTGTGGCTTAATATAGTTGGGGTCAGTGCCATGAAAAATTTGTTGCCATTCAAAAGAGAATAGTCACAAAGGTATATGATGGATTCCCTTTCTAACACACCGTTCTTGCAAATACAGATATACTGCATTAGTTTTCAAACAATAATTAATGGAAATAGTTCCAAATACATTAAGTTGTGATTTAACTAAAACGACACATCTGGATTTAGTTATATATTGAGGAGGCTAAACTAATGGGGCATAGGCTAATTTTGTAGTGCAAAATTTTATAATTTTTTAACTGGAGTTCATTTAATTATAAAGATTAATTCTTTTGTAAATTTTAAATTAATTTGTACCAAGTCATCCGAACCATTCTAAAAAAAGTTCTTTTTTTTTAATTTTCAGTTATTGGAGTCCGTTGTTGAAGTCAATAACAAATAGAGAGTACATGGATTTTTCTATGATTGAAGAAGACTTGGAGGAGAGGGAAGAATTTATGTCTATGCTTGAATCGAGATTTCTATACCTTGCTGCGGATGCTCAGTCTACATTGAGGTTTGGCTTTTTTATTATTCTTGATGAAATCATTCCATGATGCATTTATACATAGCTTTTTGAAGGTTAGAAACACCTTAGTTATTCCTTAGAATGTTGGCAGTTTTAGTTGCTCTTACATGGAATGCTTGTATATATGCATTGTAACTTGTAACCTATCCGGAAACATGAAACATGGGCCGTTCTTTATTTATTTGGCATTGAAGATACCACTCATCGGTGGTTCTGGTCATTAGCAGACCATTTTGCAACAAGAAAAATCAAAGGGGTATTCTGCAACACAAAGAAAATAGGAACTAAAGAAAACATTTGATTTGAGTATAATTGAGTGATAAAAAAATGATTTTCTGTTCAGAACGTAAATTTTATGTGAATCCTGCATGATACAACTTCCGATCGTTATTAGGGGCCGAAGACCATCATACAGGGATGTATTGCTTAATGTCAGGAAAAAGTTAGGCATACGTTGTTCAACAAAAATATCTGTCGAATATTTGGAAGCAGAGATTTTTCTTCATCTATTGCAAGAATACGCGAGGTAAGCCATCAACTGTCTCTCTAAACTTTAACAAAAAGTACTGCTTTTGCTTGCTTATTTCTTTTTTCATCATTTTTTTTACTTAATGCTATTTTTTCATTTAATTTCTTTGACGATTTTACTTTCTTTATCATTTATACTTGTGCGAATAGTATAACATATACTTTTTTCTCTATTATATATTAATGAGATTTTGTGCCTACAATTTCTATACAGCTATGTCTATCTTGTCTGCAATTTATGATTCCACTTCGATTAAAAATGGAGCATAGCATTTATGCAACTTTGATGGATGAGATTGCAGCTTCCTCATATTTAATGGTTGTTCCATTTCCAATTTTCATCAAATGATTTGTGCACAATACACTTCTTGTTTACTGCTTATGGTCTATTTGGTACGGAGTATTTAATTTTTGGTTCACATTCGTTGTTATGTTTAATTATTTGGAATCATCCATTGTTCAAGCGAAGTGGTGGACACTGCAAATGAGAGTCTAGAATTTGGGCTCAACCGATGGATGATTCATGCTGATGCGGCTTTAGAAGGAGGACGAGGACTGCTTGGAACAATGATATTGAAGGTACTGTTTCTGGTTCATTTCTTCTCATGTTCATGTCTGGTTTCAGTTAACCCATTTTTAAAAATGTTTTAGGGTGGCGGGATGCTAACAATGGGGAGAATCTACAACTCGGTAAAAAGTGATGACACATGACTGTTGTAAATCTTTCCATTTCACACTTTTTTGTGACCCCTTGGTATTCCCTTGATATGGTAGTTAGTTAAGAGATTATTTGGAAAATGTATGGTGGAAGTTGCCAAATATGGGGTGCAGAAGGAACTCCTCAAAAAGGTATGTCAAGTTGGTCTGTTATGTTATCTGGATTATACAAGTAGTATATTTATTGTATAGTCTTCTACATATTTCCCAGTATCCAATTTTGGACTTAAATTAATCTTGCATGATCCCCTCCCAACTTGAGGAATTTTCCAGATAGGAAATGTGATCTGCATTCAGGATAATGCATAAATGATGTCATAAATGCAAACTATTTGAGCATCTGTTAGGATCAGGTATTGAGAGACAATTGATATATAAATTTTGCTTCTGAATAAGAAAGATGAATGCGAACTATTTTAGTGTCATGTAAGAGTGCCAATGACTTGCTCAGGTTGATTCAATGCGGCAACACTTGAAAATTTTACATGAAGCCGGTTTAGCAGACTCATGAGCCTCTCTTTAGAGACATTTCCTCCTGCCGCCCCTTAGCTAGGCTGTATTTTATAACTTGTCATCTTTTCTTTTGGGCCGTTCCTTTTCACAAGATTGTGTTCATGTTTATTTTATAAAAGGTATTCATTCACAAGGCTTAATAAAAGAGGGTTAATTGAAGCATAGTATTTTCAGGGGCTCAAGAAAAATCAACTACTTTCATTTGTTTGTGAAATGTAATCAATTATGCTTTACAATAAGGTCCCAATGGAGCACATTAAAAAAACATGCCCCCGTGGGAGATAGAATAAGGTCCTAGTGGGTGTTTGGAATTTGGATTGACTGGTTGCAAGCAGGATGGATGCAAAAGAATAACGGGTGGGTTATAGGTACATCAGTTGAGGTCTGTTCAGTTAGTGGTAATGAAAGTTTTGGAGGTGGAGAAAGCACCGTCGGAGATAGAAATTCAGTGGATGGGAATAATAATCCAGAAAATTTTAAATAAATATCATTTCTAACTTGGAGCTATGGAGCTATAGTCAACACCTGAAGACCTTTTTCCTGGTTGTGCCATGTAGAACACTTCCTGATTTTCATGCATCATTTTTGCACCCATAAATTTAGGAACTTTGTCACATGGCTCCTAGCCAAGAGGAGCATTTTAAACTAAGCAGAATTGAGCCATAATGGACTACAAAACCTCCCTATGTTCACATTGGTCATGGATTGTATTTCATGTCCATATTCTTGCAAGGAACTCACATAGCTTCTAGGTTATTGTTAGACATAGATTATTCATAATTGGGCTATGCGCATTTTCAGTAGGGAGCATGGAGATATTTAGGTTTGATGAGATCTCTAGATGGTTGTAATAGTGGCCATAAATGAAAGTGCATACACTTTTTTTCAAACTTTTTTGTGTTTAGGAAATGGAAAATTACTGCCAATACTCCCAGAAATGTGAGATTTCACATGAACATTCCAAGAGTACGCGATGATCATCACTCCTCCCAAAATTTAAGCAATTTGACAACAATACTCTATCAAAATTTTCATTTTACATGAATCCCATTTTTTCACGAGTAAAATGTATTTAATGGCATATCGTTGTTAAAATATTCAAATTCCCGGAGTAGTGGTGATCATTTTGTAATCTTGGAGTATCTGTGAAATCTCAAATTTCTAGTCATGAATTTCTCCTTGGAAAAATGACAATATATGAAAATGTTTTTCAAATCTGTTTTGTTATGCTAAACTTTTCAGTGTTCAACTTTAGTATGTAATCTATTTTCCGTTCCTTTTCCTAGAAAATTCAAGAGTCTCATTTAGGGAAGAAATAGAGAAGATAGAAATGGGTGAGAAAGAAATGGAGAAGAGAGAAATATGGTAGATTTGTGTGTTGTTTCATAGGAGAAAATGCAGAAAAAAACAGGCAGAAATTGAAAAAGGAATTCTTTTCTCTCCTATTTCTCCCCATAAGAGAGAAGAAACAGAATAGTTATGGGGCTCACCACTCCCACTTCTCTCCTCTCCATTTTCCATCACCAACCTGAAGAAGTTTTTCATTTCTTCCTGATTTCTCTCTCTCAATGCATTAGAGTTTTAATTTCATTTAGTTGGTTATTTTGATTAATTAGTTTTGCAATGCTTCATTTTTAGGGTGGACAATTGGCTGCGGTTAACCTAGAGTCAAGGTTGGCCTTCCTTGCTGCAAAAGAGGTGTGTTGTCTTCAGAAAAAAATTGCCTGCCTGCTCTGATATATACTCCCTATGTGCCCCTTATTTTCTCCTGTCTTGAGTCTTGACTTTGCACAGTTTTAAGAAAGCAACACTGTGTAATTGCAATTTGTTTTGAAAAGAGACAATTTAACCACAAAAACACAAAATGCTTTTCTTGAAACAAAAGAATAGACTTTTGGGCAGGGTTGGTCCTGGAATGAGAAAAAAAATCACAAACACCCTATGCACAACAACAACAACCCAGTTGGGTCCCAACAAAAGTAGGGTCTCGGGAGAATGGGAGATTGTGTGTATGCAGACCTTGCCCCTACTTGAAAACAGTTTTTAGACTGTGCTTTTATTTTGCGTGAAATACTATTTTAAAAATTAGTGCTACATATGACTTTTCGTGATCAGTGATCAATAAAGCAAAAATTTAACTATTAAAATATATTTTTACACATTTTTTTAAGTATCAAATAAAGGTCAACCTCTAAAAGTATTAGGCCCTACAAAAATGGGGGTCCTGTCCGGGTGTACATCTTGCACACCCTCAGGGTCAGCCCTGATTTTGGAATGAATGCAAAAGAAAGAAATAAGATTAATAAAGAGAGAACAGGGGGTGGGGGTGGGGATAATAAAATTGCTCAACATATCTTCATGATATAGGGCTCTTTAAGCTAAAAAATGATTAATCTGCAGTTGGTTAAACCTGCTTGAAAATCTGCCAACAGAATGAATTTTTTGTGTTAAGTACTAATTACCTTTACGAAACTGTCTTCGACGTCTTCGACAGAGTGTTAAAGATGCTGCTACCAGTTACTTGGGCATGAGGAGCATGGGAACATTTCTTGGCCCACTGTAAGATCCCTTTATTTTCTGAAAGTATATTACGGTGTTAAACTTTTCTGTTGTCAAATATTTTATGGCCTACCAAGAGATTGTTTAAAAGTGGACACAACCAAACCATACATACATATCAATTTATACTCGGTACAAAACAAGAGGTGACATGATTATGTTATTTTATCAAACGATCAATGAAAATATGCAAGGGAAAAAAGATTAAGTTTGACCTTGCAATAATAACTGAGAATTTGTTTTAGGGACTCAGGAAGGTACTACGTATAATAATCATAATATGAAGTAATAAAACCATCAGAGTATTACGTGGCTACTCACGAGTCATGACTCTTAATGTTTTCTGGTCTTTATACGTGTGCACTGCATAGGCTGTGGGGAACACTTCTAGCAGACATTTTTATTCAGATGATTGGGACAGATTATGCTCGAATTCTACGAGCAATTTACGCTTTTGCACAGGTAAAATTTCTTTGAAGCTTCAAACAAACAATGACCATTATACGTTCTTAGCGACACACTACGTGTAAGGGTGTTTCCAGTTTCTTGACTAAAATATGCTCCGTAATATTTTAGCAACTTCAACTCGATCCCTTCATAAAACGGAGTAATTGAATACGGGTTATATTTTACTTCAGTTCAAAAATAAAGTATCTAACTAGCTACTCCCTCTGCCCCAACAAACTTTACCTACCATTTCTTTTTGGATGCCTCACTTAGTAATAAACATGTGGCTTACAAGATTTATCTCTTACATTACAAATTCTAACCATACATTTTTTTTTCTATTTTCATCGCTTCTATTTTCAAAACTTTCTGTTAGTTTGCTTCTTTTTTGTTTTAGATTCGGATCATCCGTACGCACAAGTCATGAGATGTTATTTTAAGGTAAGCAGGAGACATNCCCCCCCCCCGCAATGTTGGCACCACCAAAGAAACCCACCGGTTTGTGAACCACTAACGATGTCAGCCACAGTGTGAGCCTTGGTGTGGCGGTAGCAAAACCCATTCATTTCTAGACTCGTGCTCTTGGGTCTGTTTGGTTGGAACTTGGAAGGAACGACGACCACTCTGTTCTTTATTCCCCCAAAATATAATTGACCATTCTCTTCTATCAATTGCTTTCGCAATTTCCTCCTTCCTCTGTGTTTGGATATGTATAACTTCTTTATTAAAAAGTTTATGCATTGTTAAAACATTGAAAAGAGATGCGCCTTATCTATTGCTTGTCGCAAAGTTATTTATGCATTTGCTTTTTATTCCCACAACTCTCATTGTACACCAAGGTTCACATGACATTGGGAACCAATGTTATGGGATGACCCGGGGTGCTCCGGTGCCCCGTTCGTAAAATTAACGGTTCTTACCCCTCCTAACCCCCGGTAAACCCCCCACCCCGCCCCGACCCAAACACATCCTCCACCCCCTTCAATTGCACCCCACAAGTTGAAGGTCAATAATTAAGTTGTCTTAATTATTGTCCTGGCTCAATTTCTTTATACCCTCTCATTGTGCTCAATAATTGTATATGCTTTTATGGAATTCTTGATGGTCAATAATTAACCTGGCTTTGCTTTTTTAAAAAAACATTAAAATGAAGAGTTAAATACAAAATATCACTTCACTTTTAATGTACATCTTTGATTTTCTTGAAATAAAATAATAATAGGGGGGGGATTAAGTAAAACGTGAAAATTTGAGAACAGGTTGGCAACCTGTAAAAAAACAATATAAACTCGAAAGATGAAAAGATCCATTTCGTAGAGACTATGCACGATCTTTTAATTAAAGAGTGACTATTTGTATTTTTTTCCACTTGATTGATTTCTTTTCACTAGTTGTTCTACCATTTTAATTTTAGTAAATTCTTATATGAACCCAAAGTTTATGGAAAAAAACATAGACAATTTCACAGAGTAAAGAGCAGGAATAGAAAATAGACAATATAGTAGTAGATGAATAGAAATATATTCATAGACAATATAGTGAATTATTTACTCCTCTGTAAAGAGCAGGAATAGAAAATTTCTCAAAGAATTGAAGAAGTAGATGAATATTACATTTTCTTTAATTTACTCGGTATAACTTTTTTATGTAAAAAGATTTATGAATATTAAAAAGTCCTAGTTAAAAGTATTCATTACTTTTTACCCCAAAATTTACAATTTTCGATTGCACCTTCTATGGGTTCCTACACTTGGGGAAAAAATAAATACTCCCCGTCTCTTAAAGATTATCAGTTTAACTTTTTTGGTTAAATTATGAGATTCTTTGACTACAAATTATAAAAAAATATATTTAGTTATAATATAAATTTAGTAAAAATTGGATTCATTTTAAAATATACTACGTAGTTCTGAAATATTAAATTTTTATGATATTTTATTTTTTTAAAACTATACTCAATTCATAATAAAAAAAATATCACAATTTGATCAAGAAAGTCAAACTCTAACAATTTTTTAGAGAAAGAGAGAATATCTAATTTTAGTCTAACTTTTAGAAAAATCTGCAGGTGCTCAATGTACACAAAAAACCATCTAAATTAGGAGTATTGTTTTGAAAAATTAAAGATGGCATGGACCCTATAATCCTATAGACGGAGTCCATACCGGCCCACTTTGATTACCGCCGCCGCGACAGAGATGGAGGAAGAGGAAGGCGGAGGGCCGAGACTGAGCAAGAGATTCGCCGACAAGGGCGGTGAAGTGGACTACAAGACCAAGGCCGGCACCGCCTGGTCCCACAATTTCCTTAACCAGAAGCCCTGGCACCCCCTCTCTTACCCTAATCAACGCCGGAAGTGGATCGCCGAGCAGACCCACGCCCAGAAGCAACGCCGCTCCGACGAAATCGCCCGCGAGGTTTCTAATAACTCTCACTGGATTCCCCCCAATTACTTGAATTTTTCACAATTTGTTTCCTGAAAATTTTCAATCCACCGATTCCAGATTTCCAGCCATAAATATTATGTTCCTTTATATTTTATCAATTGAGTTTTTGCTCATTATCGGCCCATTTTGTTATTCGCGTTCAGTATGCTCAAGAACAGGAGTTTTTCCGCCAGACTGCTCTGGCCTCCAAGAAGGAGAAAGAAAAGGTAATGCACTCTTCCCACATTTTTTCACCTTGCATTTGATTGGTGATTGTACATTTCAGTCAATCTCTCTTTTACAGCAAACAGCAAAATGTCAAGAAATCACTCTAAATGGGAGTAAAACATTGAGAAAATACTAAAATAGGTGCCCTTCATATTTATACTCCCAAAATAGTAGTTTGCATTGTGATAATGTGGCATTGTATATGGACATTTAACAATACATTTTGGTATTATATATTGACATGATTGGCATTGTAATTCCTATTTTGGGAATGATAACATGGAACTCCTATTTTGGTACATTTTCTATGTTTTACTCCTAGTTTACTTTTTTTTCCCTTACAAAAGTAGGTTCTGGACTTCTTGGGAAGGTGTGTTCGCCTTGCCCCTACTCGCGTCTTCTTGGAAGTAGAGAGACTATTTCCGGGAGACCCCAACACACATTTCCTTTGAAGGATATAAATTAGTTGGATGCTGTTTTGTTATTCAAAATATTCAGTCATTTCAGCTATCAGCTATGTCAAAGTATGTATATGTAATCATGTAAATGAGTTGATTTGGATCATACTATCTTGTAGTTGGAGATGATGAAAGCAGTTAGCTTTATGTATGTGAGACCACCCGGTTACAATCCTGAAAGTGCTAAGGCTGCTGAGGTTGAAGACGAGAGGAAAAAGCAAGAGCATGTTGGAACTTCTCAAAGTCTAATGGCTGAGGGTGATTTGGAGACTAAGTACTGTTCTTATGTAGATGCATTGGTCGATTGATTTTGATTGAGCTTGGAGTGGTAAACCTGATGAAGGTTTTTTGTTCTCTGATTTAGGAAGGTTGAACCTGTTGAAGAGAAAAAGAAACCGAGGCCAAAGGATGTGTTTGGACGGCTCTTACCAACAGAAGAACAATTTGAAGTCCTAAAAAATGCCCCAAGGTATGTGTCTTTCCTGCTATCATATTGATATCTGGAATCAATACACTGGTGGTTTGTTTTTTTTCATTCCATGTATGTATGTTTCAAAGACGCTAAATCCAGATGGATGGAGTATATTTCAACAACAATAACAACCCAGTTGAATCCCACGAAGAGTTGGGGAGTATATTTCAAGCTATAAATAGTTATTTAAAGTTGAAGAACAAGAAACTCTGAGAATTTACCAAATTTTCTTTCCTGATTTATACAGAGAGGATATGGAATCTATATGAGTATGATTCAAGAAGATTGTCTTGTCTTAACTTTTAAACACTAAATAAAATAGTGGGACCATGGGAGCATTTTTTTTGGAAATAAATTTTTAATTTAAACTAACTTGTTTTAGTTATAGTCCCTTTCCTGCACCCCTACCTCTAAATAAACACATCCAAAAGCTTCACCTCCAAAACTGCACAAAACCCTCCATCCAACTATTCAAACCTGCCCTAACAGATCCACTTTCATTGAGAACTGTTTTGGCTCTCTTATTTAGTATTGTTGCCTTGTTTTTTAGTACAAATATGGATGATTATTGTGTTAGATTTAATCGGGTTTGTTCACATATAACCGAATGGGTAATGAGTCAATCTTTGGGTCAGTTAGTATAGAGTCAATTAGTGTGGTGTCGTTTAGTGTGTTTTACATATTTAATTAATTTAAATAAAAAACAGCAGTTTCTAAAAGAAACAGTTATGGGTAGTTATTTCTGGAAGTTGTATTGGTTAGTAATAGATGTGTTGATTAGTGCCAATAGTTGTGTTGGTTGCTGTCTATAAATATTCCAGGAACATAGCATTCCTGTATGTTATTCACAATAAAAAAATCACAAGTCTACTGTGCATGTGATCTGTTCTTCGTATCAATTTTCTAACATATTGTGTTTAATTGTTTATATACTCTCCAGATTGGACACAGGTGCCCCTGGAAGGGCCAAACCTTTTGCAGTTGAGATACGCAATGTCAAATGTGTAAGATGTGGAACATTTGGTCATCAAAGTGGTGATCGTGAATGCCCGTTGAAGGACACTATCATGCCAAATGAGGAGAGTCGGTTAAAAAGGGATGACCCTTTAACTGCCATATTAGCTCAGACAGAGTCAGCTGAGGTAATCTTTTTCTTATAAAGTGTGGTCCCACCTTTCCTTTCCACTATGTTTGGTTCAAGGAATTTGAAAAGGAAAAGAAAAGAAAATGAGGTGGAAAATACTTTTTCTTGTTTGGTTCAAGAGGAAAAGAAAGGAAAAATAGAAGGAAAAGAAAATGAGAAGGCAAAATGTACTAAGCGGATGAAAAACCAAATTCCTTCCATTTTGGTGAGGAAAATAGATCTCTAAACTGTCTGCGCTTCTTTAATTAATGAAGTAGCAGTTAGTCAAGCAATGCAACTTTCGACGTTGAGCCGGGGGTCTCTTTGGAAACAGCTTCTCTACTTTTGAGTAGGGGTAAGGTCTGCGTACACACACCCTCCCCAGACCCTACTCTTGTGGGATTTAACTGGGTTGTTGTTGTTGTTGTTTGGTGAGGAAAATGAAAGAAAATCGTTTTCTTTTCTTTTCCTTCCAAATTCCTTGAACCAAACATAGTGTTCGTGTTCTTTATTCATATATATAGTATTTGATTGCGTTGGCAGCCTCTAAAGTGGGAACTAAAACAAAAACCCGGATTGAGCCCTCCACGAGGTGGGTTTAGACCTGATGATCCCAACCAGCAGATAGTTGCTGAGGATATATTTGACGAGTATGGAGGTATACTTGCTTTCATCCCAACAATATGTCTTATCATCACTTTCATGATTGCAACTTTATATATCTACCTAATTGTGTTTGTCTTTGAGGCATGTCCTAGGAAAAATTAAGATCATTATTGATTTAAGTTGGTTACTTAAAGTTCTAAACATGATGTTCGGACGGTAATAGTTGAAGGTCAATCACAGGTTGTGTTTTTGGATATTCAAGGCCATTTTTGGGTGTCTAGCCAAAGATCTTTTTATATACTAGGAGGCTATTTTGATGTATGTATGCATGCAGTGATCTGATATCATATATTAGAGTCTGGTTTTTTTACCATGNGAAGAGTCGAAGGTAGCATTCTAGTGTAGTCAAATTGACCTGGTGTTGGATTATGACACCGGGATTGGGTGTCAAGAAAACCTCAATGCATATATGAATCCATATTAATCTACTCATACACAGGATTCCTAGCTGGGGGCGACAATATTCCTGACCTGCTGCTATCCAACTTCTCCAGAAGTATGACAACCAAAAAGAAGAAGAAATCAAGTAATAGCAGGCATAGAAGGAGATCGCCGGACTCATCGGATCAGGAAGAAACAGGCTCTTCATCATCATCATCATCATCTTCTTCTTCTGATCATAGAGGAAGAAGATCAAAAAAGAGACACAGGACAAAGAAGCGTCGTGAGCCAGATGACGAATCCTTTGGCAAGTCTGACCGGCATCATCAAAAGAGAAGCAGTAGTGGTATCAAATCGAGGCACTGCCGCCACTCTGATTCAGCCGGAAAATATAAGACTAACAATTTCCACCACCGCCGCCACCACCACCACCACAGACGCCACCGTTCGCGTTCTTTATCTGAATAACACTGCTTTTGTCCCAGTGGAGTTTTCCCTCGGTTGGCATTCACAACCAGAATACTTTTTTTAATTTTATTTTAGTTAAATGAACACTTGCCTTTGTAATAAAAAATGTACTACTAGAAGTAAAAAAAAAGTTTTCGGAAAAGCTTTTTGGCTCATCCAAGTTGGAAAACTCCGGCAGGGCAGAGGAAATTTGTGCAGATGTAAAATTTCGTGATTTAAAGTAAATGCCTATTTCAAAATTATCTGAGGCTTGGATAAACTTTTTCTTTGTTTGGCATTATCTTTAAAGTATCGAATATTATCCACTTATCCAATGTTAGCTTTTTCGAGTAGTATTTCGTATGGTCTCGGCATCAACGTTACAGGTTAGCATTAGCGTTTTGAAAATGCTATTCGACAGTAATCTTTAATGTTAGTGTTTTTAGAATTAATTTATATCATTAAAATTATATTCAAAACGCTAATGCTAAATATTTTACTACGTATTTTGTTTCAAAAAGATTTTCTCGATATATATATATATATATATATATATATATATATATATATATAAATTTGAGTTTGATTTCACTGTGTTTAAAAATATTATTGAGAACTACTCCGGGTACTTTGTAAAAAATATCTGGAGAAATTTGTTTGGAAGAAAAAGAAATTTTATAAATCATTTATTCATTTCATTTTATTAAAATAATAATAAAAATATTTTAAAACGAATGAAAACATTAAAAAGAAAATTTTATTTAGAGAGGGAGAAACTAATACCTTTATATGGAGTATAAAGAAAGACTGAAAGAGGAAACGTTTAAAAATTACCCCATAGTACTCCGTATGAAATAAAGAACGCCTCGGCCAAACTCACAACACATTTCTGGTTTTCTCTCTCTAGGGTTTTTGCTCGCACTATAACGAAAACATGGCTTCATCGATTCGGATTTTCGGCAACCGCTGCCGGATTCTGATGACCGCCGCTAAGAGCTCTGATGCCTCCTCTACACCGGTTTCCGCCGCGAAAGGTAGTGGCCTATCAAAGGGACTTCTGAAGCCGATGAAGGTTTCTCCTGCTCTCGAGAAGTTCTTAGGTGCGTCTGAGGTCTCGCGCAGCGACGCCGTTAAGAAAGTCTGGGAGTACATCAAGGCTGAAAATCTTCAGGTTTATATATCTCCATTATGTTTATGCATCACGATCTGTTCCTCGAATCCGATGATTTCTATTGTTAATCAGTTTGTGATTTTATCCAGTCCTGACATTTCGATTTTTTTTGTATTTCATGAGCTGCTTATAGACTATAGAACCTTACTGGTTTATTTTGAATATATTTCCTGGTATATGATATTGTATGCTTCCCTGTCATTAGATGAATTTGTATGATCAATCGATAAAAGCATCGAATTATCTTCTTTAGGATTGGCCGGGCTTATTGTTACTACAAGTGTTTTATTTCCTTTTTTCGCTTTAGTCCCCCGTAAGCTTTGAAGAATTTCAGCATATGGACTGGTTCTGGGACAGCATTGTCTGTCGTATGTGTGCTTTGATGGCCCAACTTTGTTTTCTAAATTGACATTTTTATCTTATTACAAAGTGCTAGTCTAGCTGAGGTCAATTCTGTTGACACCAAGGGCTGGTGTCATAATATGACATCGGCTTATTTGAGGGCCTCACGGAACTCCGTTTGATCCCCAAGTAGTCACTACCCCCCTAACCTATCTCTCCCTCCCCTCATTTTGCCAATGTGCTACAATGCTCACTTTTGGAGAGGGGGGGGGGGCTTTAGGGTCAAATGGAGCATCATAGTGCTCGGACCACGTGTCGTATTATGACATTGGGGTTGGCTATTCAAAAGAACCCAATTCTAGTTAGTAGCCTTGTGTCGTATTATGACATTGGGGGTTGGCTGTTCAAAATAACCCGATTCTAGTTACTAATAATAATAATAAATGTGACTTGTTGATATCCAGAATCCTGCAAACAAGAAAGAGATCCGATGTGATGACAAGTTGAAGACCATATTCAGTGGAAAGGACACAGTTGGGTTTCTTGAGGTTGCTAAGCATCTCTCGCAGCATTTTCCAAAGGCCGCTTGATGGACCTCTAAATAAACCCCAGAAAGAAACATTTTAGGGGCCTTTGGAGCATATATAATTGACTCTTTTAGACATGCCAAATGGTTTGTGTGCCTCCAAAGCTAGTTGTTTTTGCTTCTCATTTTGGATTTTGGCCCCATGCTTCTTGTTAACCATGTAGGGTTCTTGTTGTGAATGGTGTGCACAGATCAGATTCCTAGTTTCTTTTTTACGCTACCTTAATGAATAATGATGATGGACTTCCCACTTTTAACCAAAATATTGGTTATTTTGATTCCATGTTATGATGTTAACAACTCAAGAAAAAATCCGTCCATCCTATTGAAACAAATAAGGTTGCTCGGAAATGTGGACGGTTTAAAAACAAAAAGTGAAATGACAAAAATGCCATTTTGACACATGGAGAAGTGATGCCGATGATATCCCCCGATATACCTAGCATTTGCTACGAGCCTGTTTGGGAATGTCGTTCGAGATTAATGTTAGCGTTTCAGATAAAATGGTAGCGGTGTAGATTACTTTGAAAACGCTAATGCTAATGCTAAATTTTAACGGTACAGATTATTTTGGGCCAAATTGAGTTATTTTTTTAAAAATAAGTTTAGTTTTAAATATTATGCAAACACGGAGTATATAGATAAACTGAATTAGAAAGTAATTTGAGTAAAATTTCGTAGGGAGGGAGCTGCACATTACTGCTAGCTTTGATTTTCTAACTTTGAGCACAATATGCAAAAAAAAATGTGAATATACCGAGTGAAATTAATACTCCGTATGAATAAGTATATTTGGAAATGTGGTCTCAGAATATGTTATACTTTTATAAATACTTCCTCTGTCACACATTATTCCAAAGTTAAAATGAAGAAATTTAAATTATTTATTTATTTAAATTAAATTAAATTGGGATGGAGGGAGAACATTAAATTTATGCATATCAAAACTACCTCCATTCCAAATTAAATTGTTTGTTTATTATTTATAGGGTAAAATTTTAGTGACTTTCTTTTCGATTTTTATTAATGATAAAATAATACAATATAATCATGTTATCATTAATTTTATAAATCTTTTGATATAGTTTTTGAATATGTAATTTTTATTTTTTAATTTCTACACCATTTTTCATATAAATGATTTGAAAATAACTGCATTCAGACATCGTAATCGAAACACGCGATTTAAATTCGGATAGAGGGAGTACAAAAGACTCCCTCCGTCCTATAATGATCTTCCCAGAACACTATTCCAACTTCACGTGAATTTATATTTATTTGTGTTTTTTCATGGCCTATATGATAAAATAAAATATTCTTGTCACCACTTGTTTTGTTGAACTTTTGGTGTAGTTTTTAAATATGTATGTTTTATTTTTTATTTCTATACCAATATTTAAATAAAATAGATTGAAAAAACTTGGGATTTTTCTTCGTTTTGCGAATCGGGAAGTTCATTATAGGACGGAGGGAGTAATATTTTGAACATTTTTTCATAGTATAAACATAAATGTCTATTTAATTGCCATCAAATTGGATTTAACTCCATCCGTCCCCAAATGATTAATCTCATTACCTATTATGACATATCAATAATTTTTATTTGTTTGTGTATTTTAATTTGATAACTTTTATTTGTTTGTATATTTTTATTGACTATTTGATAACATAAAATATTTTTGTCACCTTTTATTTTTGTACTCCGTATAATTTTTTTATATAATTTTTAATTTTTATTTGTATACTAATTGTGTAATTCATAAGTAAAATCATTTTAAAAATTATACTCTAGCCTTATTCCAAGATATTCACTCCCCAAACCAGCATCGGTTCATCGCCTCTGTCATCCCGCCTCCAATTCTTGACAGAATAAAATCGGAGGAAAAACCATGGCGGCTAATAAGGATGAAGGAACAGAGTACCTTGATGTACTCACTAAAACGGGTGAAAAAACTGGCATCTCAAAACCAAGGTACCCATACGCGCCATCCATAAACCATTGAATTTGCTCAAATTCCCACTTTTACTAGCTTTTTTTCCTTTAAATGGATGAATATATTTCAAATATTCAGATTCAACATTGTGATGATATTTCTGTGCCAATTTGTGAATAAAATCATTTTAGCAGGAAAAGAGACAATTTTTTTGGGGATGGGGGGAGTATACTGGAAGTAAATGACTAATAAAATAAAGAGATTTTACCTAAATAGTACTAAAACGTAGTGATTTTCTCAATGTAGTATAGTACTCGTATATTTTTATTTTCCAATGTAGTATCGTGTTTAATGTCTCACTGGACATTGTTCCAACTAAATGTCACTGTTCCTGCCACTAGTCATTATTCAAATACCCGAGTACTATTTAGGAAATACAAAAGTTGAAGTATTATATTGGGAAAAACACATATGTTTTAGTACTATTTAGTGCAAATTTCACATAAAATAAGCATAGTGAAGTGAAAAAATCTTTTTGGGACAGAGGGAGTATATTTCAAAGCATCACTAGTAGTATATCAAGCTTTACATATTGCTCTCTCTATGACTTTTTTTTATATTTATAACAAAAATAGTGATGGGGTTTTGAGGTGTTCCATTTGTGCACAGAGGGGAGGTGCACAGAAATGGGGATTACCATCGGGCCGTTCACGTTTGGATTTATGCTGAAAGTACTCAAAAACTGCTTCTGCAACGCCGTGCAGACAGCAAGGACTCATGGCCTGGTCAATGGGATATATCAAGTGCTGGTCATATATCTGCTGGGGATTCGTCTCTAGTTTCAGCAGTGTAAGCCATTAATCCCATTATGAAGAAAGCTAGGCAGTGTTTGGGTGACCTCAAAATCAAGTTTGATAAACAGAATGTTACTAAATACGAATGAAAGGTTAATCTTTTGCTCATAGCGAATCTAAAACATATGTCATGATATAGAGCAAAGCGTAAAGAAACAATAATAACAACCCAATATAATCCCAATGGAATTGGGGTCTCGGGAGGTGAAGATATACACAATCTTACCCCTGTAAAAACAGATAGACTGCATTTACTTTGATTACTGCCCAAAACTTCACAGAAAGTAAGAAGCAAGATAAGTTTATTGTTCCATTATAATTTATCCCATTATGTGCTTGAAACTAAAACACTAGCAATAATGACTCTGTTTGGGAAGTTTAGTTTAGTGTTTCATTTTGACTTAGAGGGTGTTTGGCAGTGTGCTGCTTTTAATAATTTAGCTTTTGTTTTGAGTAGAAGTGGTTTTACTCTGTTTGACATGTCAGCTTCTGCTTTTCACAACCACTATTTTGTACATAGAACACCGTTTCGGAGAAGCAGGTATGGGGTGCTTTTGCTTTTAGCTTTTGTCAAAATTACTTTATCCATAAGTTAATCACTCCCAAACACCCTCTTAGTCCATTATATCAATTATAGAGTACGTCATCTAAATCTAAATATTTTCCACTCCTAAAGCCCCCATCTAAACAGATCCTTAGACTTCTGATATTAAGCCTTTCTAGTGAAATGGAGTACAATTTTCTTCTATCCTAAACACATTATATTAGTAGCGGTATGATTTTTTTAAAAAAAGTATGAAGCAGTATATTTAGTACTCTCTCCGTTCCCAAAAAGAGTTCCTATTTTGACCAAGTGTAAAATTAAAGAAGTGTTAAATTGTAGTTGACTTCCAATTTCGCCCTTGATGTGATAGGTAAAAGTAAGATGCGATGGATAGATTATTAGAGAAAAAGTATGATGTGATAGGTAGGGTATGAAAAAGTAAGGGTAAAAGTGGTTTTTTAATAGAAAGTGGAAGTGGTTTGTTGGAAGTGGAAAAAGTGAAAGAGGAAGTGTTTTTGAGAACGGAGGTAGTATATATTATTCACACGCTTCACATACCTCATATTCTATTATCTCTTTTATTGAATGGACCTTTTTTCCTTCCATGCGTGCAGGAGGGAGCTTCAAGAAGAACTTGGTGTAACACTTCCAAAGGATGCATTTGAATTAATTTTTGAATTTCTTCAAGAATGGTTAGTGGATGAAGCTCTCCTCATGTTTTTTTCTACATTTTATATGGATTTTGTGTGCAGATTTCACTAAATGTGCATTTTTATCCTTTTCATTTTCTCTGTTCCATCCCTCAATATATTTTTGGTTGCAGTGTTATCAATGATGGAACCTACATCAACAATGAATACAATGATGTATATCTGGTTACCACGATAGATCCAATTCCCATGGATGCCTTTACTCTACAGGTAATTTGATGTGTCAAATTCATTGTATCATACAACAACCCAGTATAATCCCAACTTCGTTGGAGTCTGGGGGTCAAGATGTATGCAGCCTTACCCCGGTAAAATACCAAAAGACTGTTTCCGTTAGACCCTTAATGCATTACCGTATTTACTATTCAACATTTCATTGAAAGTAAGAAGCAGAGGAAGTATAATGTGCCATTTTGGTTCTCTCATTGATTTGACTCACTTAGAAATCTGAATGCTCCTTCTTGCTTTCTTTTGTCTCTTGGTAGGAATCAGAAGTTTCAGCTGTGAAATATATCTCTTACCAAGAGTATAGAAGTTTACTTGCAAGGGAAGATCCTCATTATGTGCCTTATGATGTCAATAGTTCATATTGTCAGCTCTTCGAAGTAATTGAGAAAAGGTTCGCCAAATACATATATGAGGAGATCTCATCTCATGTATAAGGCCAAATGAATTGTGTGTTTACTTGTAGGTGCTTACGAAATTTCTTTAGGATTCTCTGTTCTAATGCTACCTTTTCTCCATATCATTTCTTGTACAAAAAAAATACTATATTCGATGGTAAACACTTCATCTCACAACGAATTCCATACTTACCTTATTTGAATGTCCCCAAAAAACTTCACACTTCTATTTTTTTTCTTTAAAAGAAAGGAATATGTGGCCTACAAAAGTTCTCACTCTTCCAAAAAAATTCAACCCCATACTTCTCACTTTTTAACACATTTTTTGTATTCCATAAAGTCAAACAATGAAGTTCTTTGTAGGACGGAGGGAGTTGTTCTCATAAACTGGCAAATAGTATATTCAAAATTAGAAACACATCCATGTATCTTTGTGTACTTAAGAATAGTGCCCATAAGAATAGCTACTTTTTTTAGGAATAACAATAAATCATCTTGCCATCTTGCTCTATGTTACATCTTTTACATAAAAATGTTTGGTTGGTCAAGTGTGTAGAATTGCTACATACAGGTACAAAGAAAACGTTGAATTGCGGAGTTTGAACCTACAAAAGCAGCTCAATCGTTATGCTCGGGTTTCACTCACTGCAGAGGTTTGGACCCTTCATTTTTTTCTTCTCCAGTTATATTCCGGTCATCTTGTTGAGCATAATTCCATAACTGCAGAATAATCCGTTGGGAAATGAGGTGTAATTAAGCAGGGGTTTAGCTATACTTAAGGAATAAAATAGTAGCAATAATTGAAATAGTCTTACATATGCAGGGATTGCAGGCTAATAAGATAGGAAGGAATGAAGGATAAACCCCCCTAGGGAAAGTTAAAGTCTTAAAGATTTTTTTCTTTTTGCACTTATCTTGCCTAGTTTATTGGGCACAATTTTTAATAAAGTGAAAACTGTGCAGTTGAAATTTTTGGAGAGAAGAGAGGATTTGTATGAATCACATATTCTTTTTCATATATGGAAACATGCAACTTAAATTGAGACGGATGAAAAAGAAAACATGCAACTAAAATTGGGACATGGCACAAAGGGAGTAGATATTAGATGAGGCACATTCACAAGTTGAAGTTCAAAAAACTAATAAAAGTTTTCCTTGATGACAGGTTGCCGGGATAAGCGATGCAGATAAGAAAGCTCTAGCTCTTCTTGTCAAAGCTGCAAGAGTTATAGATGAAATTTTTTATTTGCAGGTTGTATCTTTGCTAGGATGCTGCTGTTGACAATTAAAGTTTACTAATACTTCTCTTTCTGTTCCATATCTTTCTTACCATTTTGACTTGATACACATTTTAATGTCAGATGAAAAGATGTTTGACTTTCTGTTTTGCCCTTGGTGGTGTAGTAAATTGAAGAGACATGTAAAATAAATAAATAGTGCAAAAGTAGGAGTAAAGTAGTCTTTTAGTTGTTAAAAAGGTGAATAGTCTTTCTATTTAAGGAAAGAGGAAGAAAGATGCTTTGTATAGGACGGTCCAAAAAGGAAATCGGAAGAAAGATATAAGACATATGAAGTACATTTTACCTTGTATTCTTATTATTAGTCATGGGTTTGGCCTAAGGGAATTATTAAGAGCATTTAAAGTAAACTTTATTTTCAGAATATGTCCTTCAACTTTCATGGATTATTATGAGGAATATATTTTAGAATTTTCAAGAAGCTAGGTTAATTGTGGATGAAAAAAAAATTGCATTGATACCACAAAAGTGGCTAATATTTAGGACCATACTACCATGTGTAACAGGACTGGATGGAGCAATAAATAAACAGAGTGTTCTTTATTTCATTTTTCTAGGAGAGCCTTTACATGAAATAGGGATCATAAATATGAGAAAATCTAATTTCCATATTGCAAAGCACGACGTTTCAGTGAAGACCAGCTTCTCATGCTGTTTCTGTTTGTGCTCATTTGTAGATGCAAGGATCTTATGGATATAATTGTCTTTTTTGCCCCCTTTGTCCTCAACTCATTCTAAACAGGTCTGGCATAGCAACCCATCTTTGAGAGATTGGTTAAAGGAGTATGCTGGAAAATCTCAGTTGGATAAATTAAAATGGACTTATTATCATATTAACAAAAGTCCATGGTAGGAATGCTCTCACACATTCATTTCTCTCATGGAATCTCTCTGCCTTGAACATTCAGACTAAGTTTAAAACTCAGAAAATGGTAAAGAAAGGGTAAAGTCCTAAGGAAAGTAATATTTTTTAATATTTGGTTTTCATTGGAAAATATTAACGAAATTTCTTAAATTTTTCATATATTTGGATTTCTTAGTCTTTTATATTCCGCAATATCTATAACAATACAAAAATGAGTTTGACCAAATAACTAAAATTGATTTACTAGCTTGAGCTAATCTTTAAAATTCCCTCACATTTTCTTTTCTTCCAATTACTCAATTATTTCCCTCCCTATTTGAGTATTTTTTTCCCTAACATTTCCCAGGTTCCAAACGGACACTTGGTGAATACTGAGAGAATAAAAATCAGATCTGGAGTATATAAACAGTGTTTTTATTATTGTGGAACTGCTGTCCAGAACTATGTTTCCATACATATAAATAGAGGACTAAACAACACAACCATTACAAATAGACACAACAGTTCCTAACCAACACATCTGTTGGAAACTGTCATAAAACTGCCTGTAACTGCCTAACTGCCTGCCCTTTTTTTACTTATTTATTTTTAAATTTAAACTATATTCTGGACTGGAATTAACCAACA